GTGAAATGCTGCCTCCATTTCACAGATGAGAAATAATCCATCTGACAGATTAATGAGCTGTGAGATCCTATCCCTTTACTCCTGAGGTGCACAGGCAGACATCTGTGCTTAAACACAAACCTGGAGCCCCAGGGCAATCACAGGGAGGGTGAAGCCAAGGACCTCGCGGTGGTCAGGCAGGAAGCGTCCTCAGTCTGCCCCCCCGCCCCGCGCCCCACGTTCACCCAAGCAGCTCCACAGTCTCCCAGCACCACCCCCTCACCAAGCACCCTGCCCTCAAGGTCTGCTACAGGGAGGACTCTCCAGAAGTCTGCGACCCTAAGCAAGCACCCTTTCCTCCTGAGTACCTACTGCGTGCTAAGTACTAGAGGGATCTGAGTGTCAGCGCCACTAAGCTGGCTGTGAGTGTAAACCACTGCGAGATCTCTATGTGGTCTCCTAAGCTGTGACACCTGCATCCTGCCCACCCAGAGGTGGCATAATGACTGCAGAGCCAAGATACATGAAATGCCCGCTTGGCAACAGCACCCAACACATGGCAGAAGCCCAATGAGCAACAGTATCTACTGAAATTGTGCCGTGCCAACCTCAGCCTTACCACACCAACATGAGTCCCAGGTACCATTTATTTCCTCTCAGCCTAGTTGCCTGAGACTGTGGTAAACAATGAAACGGACTCAGAGTATCGGGGATGGGACGGTGCCAGCACTATAACCAGTGGCCTGGGCATCTTCTGAGCAGAAACAGAATATTCAGGGGCAAATAAGTCTTTGGCCCCCAAAGGGCACTGTGTTGACAACTGTCTGCTTCTCAGCAGCAAGGTCAGCCCCGGTGATTACACAGTTGTATGAAGAGTCTATAATTAACTTAGCTCAAAACAACAGTAAAATGTCGCTCAGCACAAGGACTTAATAATCACTCGTTCCCAGTACCCAGACTACAGGCGTGTGCCACTGCTCAGCTCAGCTCTAGATGTTCAATGCATGGTTTCTACTTATCTTTCCACGTACTTCCTCGACCCAACGATTTACCAGACAGAAAGGAACCTGCAGCACAGCAGGCTGCCACCTCTACTGTTGAAAAAGATCTCATTCACAAAGATTACAAATCAAACTCTGGCACCCAAAGTCACTCACCTGTAAGGTTAGTCAGGTGGTTACTTCTAAACAAAATAACGCCTGGCACAGCGCACACAAAGGCTCGCTGCGTCTGCGTCTGAGACTCCCTCCCACCTTTACCCAGCGCGAAGGGCAACACTCGCCCGCCCTTTGTGAACACACACTGCAGGAATGTGCCTCTGTGTCTCGGTTTACTAGACAATGCTGTCCACAGAGAAATTATTTCCTCTTCTTAACACTAGCAAAATTCATGAAGATGCTCAATTTGTTCTTTGGGTTCTATTTCTTTCAAATTACTATTCACAGATAAAACTTTTGTTTGATTTTGTCAAATCATTTAGCTATTTCCATGCTAATCAATTAGACAGAAAAAAAGAAAGAAAGAAAAGGAAAAACCTTTATGTTTGAAAAATCACAAATACAGGGCCAGCCAAAGAGCTCAGCAGATTAAAGCACCTGCAAGCAGGTGCGCGGGGTGGGAGGTGGGGGCTTTGGCCCCAAGCCCCTCCCCCAGGGCATGCTGATGAGACTGGGTGTGGTGGCACGCCCCTGTAATCCCAGCTCTTGTGAAGCTGCAAACAGGCAGATCACTACTGAGTCCAATCTAGTAGTGAGACCCTGAACACCCTGTAGACCCTTCCCTAAAATACACAAAGAAAAAAAAAATCACAAATATAGTCTAATAATTATCTTTTAAGATTATTACTAATCTACTAAAATAAATACATAAGATCTGATGCCTCTGAATATTATATGATGCTAAATTATCAAAAATAGAATGTAAGCACATTTAATTCTAGTTAGTTCTTGATTATCTACCCCAGTAATTTTTTAAAAGGTGTGTCACAGGTCTGCCATTAATAACTGATATTAAGCCCATGGATGTGGTTTTTATTTACACTTGAATAAATATCTTCGAGATAAAAAATCCCTAATCCAGATAATAAAACCACCTATAAAGATACAGCCATCCAAACCAACCTTCCTTTTTCCTGTCCATTTGACTACCCTCTCCTTAACTGCAGTTGTTACAAAAGATGGACTTTATGTGCGTATATTTTTCCTTTATGTCTTACAGCTCAGAAATATATCTGAGTGAACACAAAGTACCTTAAAAAGATCCATCTTAGTAGCACAGGAGCCAGGTGTGATGGCACACTCCTGCAATCCTAGAATGTGGCAGGCCGAGGCAGGAGTACCTCTACAAATTCATGGCCAGCCTAGCTGCATAATAAACTTAAAAACAGTCTGAATACTATTTATATAATATTTATAAGATAGCTATGACATTTAGGAGCAACAATTCATCTCATTTGGGGAAAATTCTATAGCTTTACTCTTAGTAGGACATTTTACTACTCGTTTTAGCTGTAATGAAGCCCAGGGATAGATTACAGTGTAATTCTAGTTCTATCAAAATAAAAAGGACATAGTATATACAGTGTTCTGGAACTAGATCAGAAATCGCATCGGCAGCATATCATTTTCAAGCTCTCACCAGGAGAATGAATTTGCAGAAACCCTACATTACAGTTCCAGAGCCACACTCCCGGCATCCCATCACACTGGCCGCTGGGTGCCTTCTGCAAATCTCTACCCAGGACCACAGATTCATCTACAAGTTCACCAAGAGAAATGAGGTCAAGGACAGCTGCGCAGTGGACAGGCTGGGGGAGTCACGGCCAGAAGACCTGTGCATGAATCCCGACCTGGCTCTCTGGGTGTAAAATGTAATTCTGCAAAATGCAATTCTCTATGCCTCACCTTACCCTCTGCTACCTGAAAAATTACTTCTAGCTCAAGCCCCTTGGTGGTGCAGCAGAGGCCCGCAGGGAGTAGGGATGATCTCAACCTCTGGGCCTCCCCACAAATTATGTATTACAAAGTATTTCACTTCCAGGGTCACAGTTACAGTAAACTGTGTTAGATCTGCAAGTTGCAATTCTTTTTCCATCTGTTATTTTTTCAGTAAGAGGCTTTAATACAGAAAATGAAAAATTCACAGAGGTTAGAAAACTTCCACTGCCATCGTAGGGTCTAGATCCAGGGTCACGGTAAACAAGTGCTACACCCTCCGCATTTTTTTCCCCCCCCCGGAAACAAGGATTGAACTCAGGCCTGCCCTTGTGCTTGCCAGGCAAGCGCTTATTCTACTGAGCCATCTCCCTGGCCCCCACCCTCAGAATTTTAAAAACTTTTTACCTGGGCATGGAAACGCACTCCTAGTAATTCAGAACTAAGATCATGTTGAATTCCAGGCCAGCCTGGCCTGCACAGTGCATCCAAGGCCACCCATACATACTATACAGTAAGACCCAGTCTAAAGAAAAAATAAAAAAAAACCAACATTTTACATAGCAAAGCAGAGCCTCAACTATCAACAGAAACTAAAATGGTTAATTTTTAAATGTGTGTGCGCTTGCATTTATTTAGATACAGACTGGTTGTCTAAACAATGGGCTACACGATACACCACGGACTCCAGGCAAAGCCACAACAGGATGGGAAAAGAGCCCTCAGCCTCTCTCACATTTCCTGGCTGCTGTTATTTTAAAACTGGATCACATAAACATAGGGGGAAAGAATCCAGTTCAGATAAGTCCCACAGGTTATGTCTTACAGTCTTTGCTTTTAATACCTAACATTACTTTGCCTTAAATATTAATGTTAATATTTTTGCTCACGTTCATGTATCTTGTTCACATCTCCACTGATAAAGAATCTATATACATTATATACTAGCTTCATGCATTACACAGATTTTAACTGCAATGTTTTCTTAAAGTTCATATTTAAGTTTCTGTGTTTCACAATTTATTTTTGATAACAGTATGTCCTTAAAAAGCTAAAAAGAACAACGTGTAACATGTTACACAACAAATATTAATTGAGGGCCAGAGAGATAGGTCAGAGGTATAAGCGCCTGCCTGGCAAGCGCAAGGTCTTGAGTTCGATCCCTGGTCACAAAATATAAGATGCAGGTTTGCAATGTGCACTGAGGGCGAGGGCGGTACTGAGGGCTTTTTTTTTTTTTTTTAACCTCGATGTTGTTTCAGTTGCCCAATTCCAAGGCAACTGAAAATACTCAAAATGAGCTACAGACTTCAAAGTCGACCAGCTACTCCGAACACCCGCAGCGTTCCAGGCTCTGCTTGCAGCACACTTTGTAACATTCCTGTCCGCTGCTACACTTCAGGTGAGAAAACACTAAGGTGGCGTTTTCACTGCCTATTGGCCATTTGGAAATTCACAATTAATTAACCCCGGTTAATTTTTACAGAGATGCGGTTCTGCGCCAACCTTTGCACCATGGCCACTGCTAATCCAAGATTCACATTTCACGGTGTGAATCCGGTTTCAGACAAACCTTCAGAGGTTTTCGCAACAAAGCCTGCCCGCGCCCGGCCACCGGCGTCCGTCCCAACGCGCCCAGCGGGAGCAGGCCGGCGCGCCCGCGTCTGCACCGCGCCGCGCCGCGCCCGCCTCCCGCCACGCTCTCCCAGGCGCCGGGACGCCCCCGGCTGGGCGAGAAGCGCGACCCTGCGCAGCCACTTCCGAACCGTCGGAAGGCGCTCTGGGAAAACCAGCCCAAAGGCGCGGCGCGGCGCGGAGCAGCAGGCGCGCACAGTCCGCGGCCGGGACAGCGGGCGCGGCGCGGGACCCGGGCGCCCCAGCCAGCCCGGCGCGCCGCGCTCCCCGCACGAACTTCAGCGCGTCTACGAGACAAAACCCGAAGTCGCGGGGCGCCCGTCTGGGAGCGCAGTCGGCCGGCGCCGCACCTGAGCGCCCGCCCCCACCTGGTCGGCAGGAGGTCGGAGGACCCCCGCGGCGGCGAGCCGAACACGGACCCGGGGGAGGACCGGCGCGACGCACCACACTCACCGGCGCGGGACAGGGCAGGTGCGCAGGCCGCACTGAGGGCGAGGGCGGTACTGAGGGCCCAGGGCGAGGAGGCGGCCTGCGGCTGCTCGCTTCCTGCTCGGACAGAGCCCGGCTGGAGTCCGCCCGGCCGGCGCCCGCGAGCCTCGCCGCCTTGCACGTCACGGCTACGGAGCGCCCGAGGGGGCGGGGTGGGGCGCTGTGGGCGGGGGTCCTGGCTGTGGGCGTGGTCTCGGGAGGCCTCCGTGCTGTGGGCGTGACCTCTGTGCTGTGGGCGTGGTCTCGGGGGGCCCTCCTGCTGTGGGCGGTGCCTCTGCACTGTGGGCGTGGTCTTGGGCGGGGCCTCGGCCCAAGCGCTCCTCCCAGGCCTTAGCCTGGCTCCGGCGAAGCCTGGACGCTGGTGGAGGGCAGCAGCTAGCACAGCCAGCTTCCTGGGCTGCCCTCACGGTTTGCTTTTTTGGTGCGTGTTTGGGATGCACAATAATGACCCTCACCTCGGGATCCGGTACACAGCTGGTGAGGACACCTCCCTGCCCTCTCCTGTGTCTAGGCTGCCGTCCCAGTCAAGCTCTGTTTCTTATCTTACATTTTACTCTTTAAATTATTCATAGTTTGGGTTTCTCACATAAGAGAGACATGCAATATTTAACATTCTTAGCCGGTCAAGGTGGCACATGACTATAAAACCAGTATTTGGGAGACTGAAGCAGAAGGGTGTCCTCCAGCTCACGGCCAGCCTGCTCTGCATAGTGAGTTCGAGGCCTGCCCCCTCAGAAAGTCTGCGTCAGCCTTACCTCACTTACCCTCCCGGTGGTGAGACACAGTTGTGTCCCTGGAAGCGACTCGTGTGACCCTTTCGTGACTCCACTGCACACACACACCACTCTTCCTTCATCCATCATTGGTGGGCTGACTGGCCGCCAACACCGGCCTCTGGGGAGCCGCGCTCGCAAAACGCGGGGTGGTGTGTGCAAGAGTGGGGCAGAAGCCTTGATTCTCTGGGGCAGCACCCAGGAGAAGAGCTGGCCCAGCAGAATTTGCTTCCCGTGCTTGGAGCAAACTGATTTATGTAGTGACTGTACTTAGTTTGCATTCCTACCAGCAGTGCAAAGGACTGCCTGTCCCGGCTAACTCACCAGAATTTGGGTTTTTTTCAGTTCTTGAGGATGGCTGTTCCCAGTGGAATGGGGGAGTGACTCGTCCCACGAGTCGAGATGTGGGGTGATTACCTGGAGGAGGAACAGGGATGAACCAGACAGGGCAAGAGACACAAGAGACGGAGACAAGACAGGCTTTCTGATCAAGTCTCGTTTATTGAGGAAGTGAGCGGGGTCTAAATAGCCATGTAGCGGAAGTAGTTGGGTGGGACTATTTGTGGATTGGTAGCAAAGGTCCGGGACCACAGGAAGATGCCAAGGCAAGCAGGGATTGGTGCTGCAGCATTTCTTGCCCAAATAAGGGAACGTGTAAGAGGAGCGTTCCATCGCCCCCCACATGTTCCCCTTTCTTATTAATTTCATCAAGCGGGAAATTGACAGTGCCCTGCAGGGACAATGCCTGGCTTGGATCAAGGACTCCTTCACATGAGATCGACCAGACCTTACCCGTCTTGGGATTGCAGGGCAGCAATAGGCCCTGTTCCTGTCTTAGGTGGTCGGCGGTACTACATGTGGGTCCTAGTTACCCGTCATTGACTACTTGTCCCTCTCACCAGGGGGACCTATATCAGATTAGGCCACATTATTATAGGGTCTATTTGGGGGAACCCTCTCGCGATACTTTTGTTGATCTGCCATCTCCAGCTGGTGATAATGTATCTGAATGGGCTTTGCAGCAAAGGCATCTATGCAAGAACTAATGAAGGATGTAAGCTTTTGAAAAATGCAAGGTCCTACCATGAGCAAGATTAAGAGTGAAAAGAGGGGTCCCAATAGGGATACAAGGTAGGGGAACATCCCTCCCCATAGCAAGGAGAAGGGGTTGTCCGCAAGCTGTTGTCTCCGCTTGAGTAGTTGATCCTGAAGCTCCCAAATTTTGTCTCGAACTATGCCTGATTTATTGGCATAAACAGCATCTTTCACTGTGCGCACAAGTTCTTCTTTAGAGCCAAGAGTTCCCCAGTTCCCCAAGTCTCTTTCCAGGGAGCAGGGCCCAAATAGCAAGATGAGGCCCAGGAGCGATGACCAAGCCGCCATCACTGGCTGCAAGAGAACACAAGGACACTACCCTCAGGGCGTAGCGTCATCCCTGGGCTTGTCATCAGTGTCTTTCAGCCTATCTATTTGTTTGACTAGGCGCTCAGGAAGCCATCTGCTGATTTTGCATGCCAAGAATAGATGCACACTGAGCCCTGTCCCCATGTGAGAACCGGACCATTCCAAGTGCCTGTCAGGGGGTCTCACCACATAACCAAGGCAAATTGAGTCTATGTTTGAGTGTGCCAAAAGCGGGATGCTGTAGAGCGACCATTGGCATCCAAGATCAAAAAATTAAGAGTGAAGAGTGCATGGGATATCAGTCTCCCCCTTTCATTTTATTAATGGTGAGTTTTAATGAGAGGTGCGCTCATTCAAGAATACCTTGTCCTTGGGGGTTATATGGTATACCTGTAGTGTGAAAGATGTTGAGTGCCTTGCAAAACCAAGTAAAAGCGACACTGGTGTAAGTTGGCCCATTATCAGTCTTCAATTGTTGGGGGCACCCCAAAACCAAGAAGGCAGTCAGCATGTGAGCAATGACATGCTTGGTAGCTTCACCCGTTTGGAGGGAAGCATAAATAAATCCACTATAAGTATCAACAATTACATGAGCATATTTTAATTTACCAAATTCTGTCATGTGAGTAACATCTATCTGCCGCAATGCATTGGGTATCAACCCCCTAGGGTTTACACCTAGATGGGGCACTGGGAGATTTACGGCACAAGATGGGCAATTTTTCACAATCTGTCTGGCCTGATCATGAGTTATTTTGTGCATAAGCTGAAGGGTTTGGGCATTTAGGTGATGCAATTGATGGCTATGTTGAGCAGCAAGCATGCTGTTGCTAGAGCTATCAGCTTGGGCGTCATTTAGGATGGTGTTGAAGGCCTGAACTCGAGTGGCCAAATCAGCTTTTTGGTTCCCTTTTGCTAAGGGTCCGGGCAGGTTAGTATGAGCTCTCAAATGTCCCATGAAGAATGGGTGTTTCTAAAGACGGACTAGCACTTGCAGTTGTCTAAACAGATCAGCAGCTGGAGAAGTCTTACAGATAGCGCCAACCGTCTCTAGGAGAGATACGGAATGTGCGAGATAAGCGCTGTCTGTATATATATTGAGAGGCTGAGTTGGAAAGGCGTTAAAAACAGCCATGACAGCCTGTAGTTCTGTCAATTGTGCTGAAAAAGAATCTGTTTGAAAGGTAACAACATTATCCTGAAATGCATGTGCCACGGAAGGGCCATATTGAGCAACTGAGGTCTTTAATTCTTTTAGTGCAGTTACAGTAAAAGGGGCATGGGCTCTAACAGCCTGAGGCTCGGCACCTTTTTGGCCAGGGCCATCACTTCTGAAACCGGAAACTCCATTTGGGTGGAGGCCTACTATACTCAGGCACCATTTTAGGCAAGGGTCCATTAAGCCCAGGCGCCATCTTAGAGGCGCCACGTGTCTGACCAGCCTGCAAAGATTGTAACTGTAACGTAAGCCTCGCAAGTACTCGGTTTTCCAGGTCCAAAAGCACATTGGAGGGGTTAGGAGCAAGTTTGGGCATGTCATTATTATCTGGGGGAGCTGTAATGGACTCAGAATGATATTTGGAAGCCTTCTCGGCTAATTATCCCCAATCGACCTCTTGTAAGGTAGCGAGGTCGGGGTATAAGGGCTTATGATGGGCTTGGAAAGGGGCTGGGGGGGGCGGCGGCAGGTGGGGGAGGGGCAGATGGCAAGGGCTCAAAAGGAGGAAGGGGCGGCTGATCGCCATTTTGGTGTTTCTCCAACATTTCGTTTGCTTCCTCATCAGAGGGAGAGGAGACATCTGAATCAGCCCGAGAGGGGGCCGGAGTGGGTCTGTTCGAGTTGCGCAGGGCGGCCTCCCCCTGGGTAATCATCTCCCTGACCAAGGGGTCCCCATGTCGCTGCGTAAGTATCTCATCAGATTCCAGTATGAGAAGGCTGTGACTGGGACCTTTTCAGGGCCAAAAACTCTATAAAAATCCTGTAATGCATCGCCCACTCATTTCCATCTCTTAGAATCGATCGTGCCCTCCAATGGGAACCACGGGCAAACCTTATGAATAAACTTAAAATACTGTAATAAGTCCTTTTCCTTTACCTTAATCCCTCGTGTCTTGAGTGCCTTGCTAAGGCTTTCTACAAAGAGCTCATGCTCGCTTAATGCTTGACCCATGCCTGGAAGGGGCAGGGGGTTGCCCTTCACTCACCGTGGCTCCAGCGGCTTGGCAGGCACTCACGTGACATTGGCTTCGGACTTTGCTTTCACTTTCTACTTTGTACCCGGCGCTCTCAAACAGCTCCCTCGTTGAGTCCTCCGTGGCAGGCCCCACGTTGGGCGCCACTTGACTCGTCCCACTAGTCCAGACGTGGGGTGATTACCTGGAGGAGGAACGGGGATGAACAAGACAGGGCAAGAGACACAAGAGACGGAGACAAGACAGGCTTTCTGATCAAGTCTCGTTTATTGAGGAAGTGAGCGGGGTCTAAATAGCTGGGTAGCAGAAGTAGTTGGGTGGGACTATTTGTGGATTGGTAGCAAAGGTCCTGGACCACAGGAAGATGCGGAGGCAAGCAGGAATTGGTGCTGCAGCACTTCTTGCCCAAATAAGGGAATGTGTAAGAGGAGTGTTCCATCGCCCCCCCCCCCCCACAGGGGAGTCTCTGTGTTGTTTTGATTTGCATTTCTCTAGTGGACAAAGATATTTCTATGAAGTGTCTCTTCATTTCAGTAGCTCATTTTTTCTAGCTCATTATACATTCTAGATGTTAGGCCTGTAGAAGGCCAAGCCAGAAGTGGAAACTGTTAGACCCTGAGAACTGCAAAAAGTTAAAAAATAAAAGAGAAAGAGCTGCTGCTGTTTTCCTTTGCCTTCGTTCACCAACCAAACAGATGTTCCATTTACTTTTTTTTTTTGTTCCATTTACTTTTAAGAGCCTC